GATCTTTTTTTTATTGGTTTTGAGCTTATCTGGTATCTTTCTGAACTCTGGGGCCAAAACTTTTTTTCTGTCCTTGGTTTAGCCTAATCCTTTTTCCTAACATAAGTTGTAAATCATTACTATAATTCTGCAGATATACTTTTTTATGGTACCAACTAAACACAAATTCTTTAACTTTTCTATCTAGATCTTTAATTGCACATATGGCATGTGCACAAAGGATACTAAAAAGTTGATACATTCTACAACTACATATCTTTTCACTAAACTAGACATGAACCTATCTAAACCCAAATCTATTTCATATCCACTATCACCAGTAAATATAACATTATGATACTATAGATGCATTTTTTTAAGACTTTTATGATGTTAGGACCAATCACACACTCCACTTAAAACATTTTTTTTTATTCCTAATTCTTACCATCAGAGTCCTTTTCATGTCCTCAAAATAAGAAATCATTTTCTTTCTTACATCTGGTAATGTCTCATTGAATGTTTCACATAAGTTGTTGTCAACCAATTGACATCTAGAGTCTATGTTGAAGAATGCTTTGCACCATTGCTGAGATAGGGCTTTTGTATGTCAACAACTATAATGTCATCCTTTTTATGCAATTTCTTCATATTTTTTTCAAATTCTCTAACTGTTAACGACTTAGCAATTATCCAAAAGGTTTGTTTCATCTATTCACCCTATATCCCCTTTTAGCCTAATTCACATATACATGTTTAGCATAAAATATGCGCTCAGCATTTAGAAGCAACTTTGCAATAACATTGTTAAAGCCCTACAAGTGTTATGAAACTAATTAGTAATAAGTTTAAGTTTGAGTACATAATATAATTTAAATTAGTATTTAAATATTTACCTTTTATTGATCTGTATTGTCCAGCCTATTCTATTTTCCAAAGACATGATGTCTAATTTCAACAATTCAAGACACTATTTTCATGAAACTATACATTCCACTTCCACCAATGCTTAAGCCACTGAAAATTTTGAATGTTTCCATCTCTATCAATAATACATAGCAACTCACCTTTCGTCAAGTATTTTAGCCAACAGTAATCTAGTCCTAAAAAAAGCCTACAACCACTCTCCAAACCTTTTTCAAATGCCCTAAAACATATATAATACTTTTGAAATACAGGTGGAGACATTGGCAATGGCCTAAGAACTTGTATCTTCACTGTGCTACATTTATTAGTTTTCTTGATTACATCGGTATAATCTCATAAAAATCTAAACTTATCCTTATAATTGCTAACCATTTTATCAGCCATATATTTTTTAGCCTTTCTTCTCATGCTAATATTGACTTTGTATCAAATTTTTTTCTAACTAATTCCTACACTTTTACATTCTTAATAAAAGGATCTTTTATAAATATATTTGTGTACAACTTAGTCAAAACAACTTAACTCATTTTTGGGTTTTTAAAAATTTTGTTGTATTCATGAGTGTTATTGTAAGTCTTCACTTGAAATGATTGTAACTTTTTGTCATAAGCTGCATAGATTACCCAAAGATATTATTTTACAATGCACTTACCTCAAACAAAACTTTTATGATTTTTAGCCCAAATGATATCCTTATTTGTCCTAATAGAAAGTAATGACATAGCATATTAAAAATTAAATGTAAAAGGTCTCTACATTAGGATCATACATTAGAAACTTACTTCTCATCTTAGTTGCATCATCAATCATTTTTTTCTCATCACTAGAAGGCTCATGATACTCATCAAAATCATAGCATTGACTTTACTATCCCTCATCAATATCACCAATATTTCCTTTAACTAGTGAGGTTGAATCTGGTTCTATTTTTTTTGTTATTATCAACTCCATCCCCAACCATTTTCACACCAATTTGTACTTTCTTATCCACTCAATTTGTCTTACATTTACCCTTTTCTAACATAGCTTTCAGTTTAGATTTAGTAACAACTATTTTTTCATCATTATTACCACTCAAATACTGAATTTGTACAAAGTATGATCTTCTCATTCACTATTATTTCTATCACTTGCATCTTCAACTTTTACCTCAGCTGCATCTTTATTTTCTATGTTTGCTACATAAGATACATTTTTATTTTCTACCCTTGCTGTTTCAAATACATCTTCAATTTCTATCCTTGTTGCCTCACTACATCTTTATTTCCTATCCCTTTGTTCCCTACTGCCTCAGTTACATCTTGATTTTCTACCATTTCATTCCTTACTACGTCAACTACATCTTCCACTTCAGTTTCTATTAATAACTTAAGAGCTAAAATAGCGTCAACTATACCATGTACTATATACACATCAACTACATCATTATCTACCATATACCTAATTATATCAACAATGCCTTTTCCTCAGTCTTTTTCTCGCTTAAAAAAAAGAGTAGATACCATTTTGGACCTTAAAGACAACATTTGTTAAAAAAACCTAGAAATGAGCCATCAGAATGGGAAGCAACAAAAAACCTAAGCTTTCTTTTTCTCTTTCTCCTCATCATTCTTTCTTTTAATTTTTTCGGTTGTCTTCTAAAGAAAGCTTTTTTTCCTCAATCCAAAAAAGTTATCTCTTAAAACTTAAGAGAAGAAGCTTCTGGAGCAAACCTTTTCCAACATTACCCCTTAATTTTTTTATTTACTTTGCTTATCTGTCCTTTCAAATTGAAAAAGTGGATAACTTTTATTTATAATTATAGGTTATAGATATAAATAATACTTTTATATTTTAAATATTTAAAAGATTAGAAAAATGGAAAGTTTAAAAAAAAAAATGCTAGATGACTAATTAATAACTTTTCACATATCAAAGTCAAACAAATGAAGGCCCAAAATCTTTCTTTTACATATGTATATATAGACTTATAATAAATTTCAAAAAATTATATTCATGTTACCACTATGAACGGAATTAATTACATTTTTTCTTGAAAAATTTTTTTAAACAAAATATCATGCTTAACATTTGCAGTAGAACATAAGATACATAAAGTAAATTTATTTAAGAAAAAAGATACACAAAGTAGAAAAGAAAATTAAAAATATGGTTGAAATATTAGTAATTACTAAATCCATCCTAATGTAGGAAAGCATACTTTTGATATATAAAATAATTAATATACCATATGAGAATAAATAAACTTAAGTAGAAAAGCAAAACATTTTATTTGGATTAATAAAATTAAAATAAAACAATAATATTAGAAGTAGTTAAGTTTTAAAAATATCAATGAGACAGTTTCCTATGTGGTATATGTTATGGCATAATAAACTTTTAACATAGGAAAAACTTTTGAGAATGAGTTTTAACAAATAAATTTCCTCTTGAAATAAACCTCTTCTTTGAAAAGTCTAATTTAATAAATTCACATTTCATTTCCTTAAATCTTATATAATTACATAAAAATTATAAAAAATAGCTTTATAAATAAATTGTATCAAGTTGTGTGTAATGACACTAGCCTTGTGAGATCCGCATAGTGGGATAAAAGGAAAAAATATGAAAATAAAAAGGGTGAAAACAAAATCAATTTTACTTGCAAAATTTTTCTTAATATATATAAGAAAATGATTTTAATAATATTATTTTATTCTCTCTTACTAAATTCTAATAATACTGGTTTATGTTTTTTTAATTTTTATTTTATTTTCATATATCTTATTAATTAAATAAATTGGTTGGTTTTAAGGAAATTTAATAATTTTAAACATAATATAATAATATGATACAAAATAATAAAAAAAATAAAAATAACACAATTTAAAATTTTAATAAAAATAATATATGAGATTGAAAAAAATCAAAATATATAAATATTTAATATATTCGTTGAAATTGTAACATAATAATTTTTATATTTTATGACCGATTAACGTGAAGGAAACAAACAAAATACACAGATCCACAACCATTCACAATAACGTTTTTTTTTTTGTCTGTGATTTGTATTATTTAATCCACAATTATAAAATTGAGTGGGCCCACCAAATTTTATATAGCACAATCAATTCTCGATAGTTGGTTTTTATTATATTAAAAAAAAAAGTTGGCTTTTACTCCAAATTCAAATTTAGCTTTCCTTTGATGCCATTGATGAAGAGTCTTTGCATCAAATGTCATGAATATCTCATGATCGTGAGACTAGTCTGGTGCAGGTGGGGTGGCTTTGCACCCCTTTTCCCATCTATGGGTCCATAAGCTTGACAATAAAAGGTCTATGAACAATCACATGAACATTGACTTTAGTCCAAATCAACTTAACAATCTTATTTCCTTCAATATCTTTCAAGACCAAGTCACTACAGTTTAGTTTGCTTTTCATCTCTTACTTATCTGCAACAATGCAAATTAAACTAATGTTTAAGGTTATGTCAGATCTAGTACAAAAAGCCGAAGTGCCTTTCAAGAGATGTAAGGTGCAAATTTTGTTTTTATAAAGCAAACAGCAAGGTGTAAATCTTTGACTTTTAACTAGGCTATACAAGAGAATATGGAGTTTTATATAAACGTGAACTTGGACTGGTTGATCAGTTCGAGGTGAAAGGGGTAAAAACTACTAATAACTTGAGTCTGGTGTCTTAATGGTTGAAAGAAGATAAGATCCTAAATCAACATCTGAAGAAAGAAAAGCAAATGATGGAAGATATAGGTAGGTGCGATTCACAAAAAAGATAATCATCAAAGAAAGGAGCATAAATAATTTCTTAAAAGTATCTTTTGTACCAAATGCTATTTTGGAAACTCAGCCGTATCAATCAGCAAAGCTCATAGCAGTGTTTTACCTTGAACTTTGACAATACACTATCTTTGACTTTGACATGGTAATTTTCCAATGGAAAAATAAGTATGAAATGCAACTGTGATCACCACATTAAGCAATCCAGCAGCAGAAACATGTGAGATGTTACAAAGTTACCTTTTTTTAATAATGAACATACAATGCATGAAGCATTCTATTATCACATGAAACATAGGAAAATTTTCAACAACATTTTATTTCATTTAATTTTCTCCAAACATAACTCTGCACCCAATTCAGAAATGCTATATATGGTTCTAAAATACTTAAAATCTAACAGGATCATAGAATAATTGCATAACTACATTTTTGTATGAGAATAACCATCCATTAAACAAACTCTTAAGATATACCCATCTTCAAACTGCAAAATCTTTTGCAGCATATATCCTCTACAGATGCATTGCATGAGCAACCTAAAAGAAAAAGTACAGAAAATGTGCTATAAGAGGATAAAAGTCATAAGAAAAGAAACACAAAATTTTGATTTCTTTGACTGCAATGAAAACAGAAACATGGCCAAAAAGTTCTGAAGCTCATCCATTTGGCCAATTTCTACTAATCACTAAAACAAACACTTAGCAGTCATAGAAATACTGGAATTATAAGAAAATCATATGCTTTCAATAATTAATAATCCACTATTAATTTTGTGATCAAATTATTACTATTTGAAACCATAGTTTTAAGTCCCAGATTGGGAAATTCTTTTCAATATTTGAATAAAATTATGGCAACATTAAGATATAATAATAAATTTATCCAAAATAAAAGTATCAAGAACATAACTGTAACTGTATCTACATAACAGAAAGTTTTTTCAAACAAGAAATGTTCTCTTTAAAAATCCTTAACAAAATTAAGTAAAGCAAGCTAGGTAAAAATACTTATAAAGGATTTAGCAACTAGGAGAAGATACCATCCACTACTTAAAAAATACTGGATATCTCCATTCAAATATTAATATTTTATTTTTATGAGAAAATTATATCACTTACCTTTTACATATTCATTTTTACTTTTACCACATCACTTTTCATCTTTTCACAATGAAGAAAAATGCATCTCTTATCCATTACTCATGCATTCTAAATTTCCAATTCACCCTCGGTTTGTTTTCTTAGTTGCCCGCAACAATGCCAAGGATGAAAAGTGTAGGGAAAGGCAACATCAATTATTAGCCTGATACTTGATCGGGTCAAATATATAGTGAAGCCTGGTCCTAGTTGGTGGCTGAATCACCAGGTTGACCAATCCAGGTACCAAGCTGGGCTTGGGTTTAATCCAGAATGTCAAACTGCAATTAACTGGTATTAAACCATCAAATTGATAAGCACTTACTAAGCCCATCTCTTCTTTGGGGTCGAATCTTTCCATGCGCTTTGAGTTTGCTTCTTCATTCTCTTTGAATCTCGACTAACCGATACTTGCCTTTGCCTTGAAGAATGTGTATGAGACTTGTGATTCATTGATATGTCTTTGAATGGAGTACCTGATCCAGACATTGAATGCCACTCAGTTTGTCTCGTAAAAGAGCTTGAAACTTTTGCAGGTGCTGATTTCTGCTCTCTCTTTAAAGCAAAGTCACCATTCCGGAAATTAACTTCCTCAATTTTGGGAACTGGAGCTTGTGGACGGTTCTTTGGTGAGCAATCTGAATCAGATGAGGAAGGGCTAGTAGTGTTATCCATGTCATAAATGACGTTATCTGTCATGACTGGAATTTGCCAATAGCTTGAACTTGAGGTAGAGGAGGAAGGTCTCTGAAGCCTCGTCAGGTGGACAACCTGTATGTATATATATGTATGATTGGATCTAGCTCTAGGATACCGCAACCATGGATACCATATTAATCATATTCAGAAATTTATTGCATATACGCCACTAATATATCAATTGTACAGGAAAGTCATCAATTCAAACTATTCTTAAACTAGAAATTGTTGCAAATAATCCATTATGACATCAATCATACATGAATACGACAAAGACAGGTCATAATTTTTGCATATTTTTTCTGAAATTCACAATCGCCCATGTATCTTTTCTTCCCATGCATTAAACAACTGATTAACAGAATTCCCATTTTATGCACCAAAATGGATAATTAGATATCTTTATCAAATGAAAAATCTATATCGTTGATCACATGTTCTATACAACTTGATGAAAGAAAGAATTGCCCTGGTTAAAAGAAACAAATGGAAAAAGTAGATTGCTGGATATCTTCTCAGATCAGCTTAGTTTTTAACTTTATTTCCTAAATTTTAAAAAATAAAGCTGCTAAGAACAACTCACCTTTTGTTCTAGAACCCCCATGTCCTCCTTTAATCTTGTAATTATTGTGTTCTTCCTGCGTATAATGTCCTCCAACTCCGATATCCTCTGTTATCAGGAAAAGTTTACACTCAAAAGTAACTGAAGGACAAAGTATAGCAAGCCAAAAAGGTGAACACAAATGAAACATTACCTTTGAACTAGCCATATTGGATGACTGAACAAAAGTGTTTAGCTGACTTATGATTGCATCCTTCTCTTTGGACTCCTTAAGATTGAAGATATCTTGTTCTATTGCAAGGTTGTTCAACTGCAAGAAGTACGCACAACATCAAACTAAAGAAAACTTGAAACTATTTGCCATTGATAAGAAATCGGATTTCGGCACTAAACAAGACATAACCTGGATTTCAGATGCAGATGTGACACTTGAAGCCCAGTCTGACAAATCAGACATGCGGCGCTCCTCTTGTTCTGTCTCATTTGACAATGCCATTTTACACTGGAGCATCTCATCCCCATCAGACGTTTTCATAGTAGAGTTACCATGATACATCAATAAACAAGGGAAAACAAAATCAGTTCAATCAGGTGACCAAATAAGATAATTGCAACTGTCATAAACCGGGTTCTTACTTCAAATTGTTCACGATGTTGATAGCAAATCCAACAACCACAATCAACAAACTTATCACTCCCAGAAACAAAAGTTTCATTCAATGGTGATTCTACTTTTGTTATGGCCCCCGTTCCCTGCTTCCCCTCAGCATTATTCAGCTGTTCACAGAGATTGTCTAACTTCTGCTGCATGCTTGAAAGCACCTGATCCTGTAAACCCATTTATATAAAATTAAATCAGTTTGGTTGGGGAGAATTCTGCACACAAATTACTCATAAAAAGTTTGAATTTTCAAAACTCAACAGGAGAGGGGAATTTTTTATATACACTTTGAGTTCCAAATATTCTGAGTCCAAGACCTCTAAATTCGAATTTTAAGTGTTAAATAACAATAGATACAAGGCAATTAACTTAAGCAAATATAATCGTAACCGATAATACATTTAGCAATATAAATATTTTCTTAATCATACATAACGGAATTAAAACCTCGTTTGATTAAGAACAAAATGATTTGAATTAGTAGAACATTAAAACTCCATAGATTAATAAATAAGAAAACCCAATTAAGTAATGATCACAAAGATTGCAGATCGTGAGAATTATTATACTTTAATTTTGATTTGACGTTGCATCATGGTAAAGCTAAACTAAAAAATAATTACCCAAACAGTCCCTAATAAATTTAAACAGGAAAGCAGAAAACAAACCCTTAGCTCGATCGATTTTTGGAGTTGGCATAACAGCCAATTCTTCTTAGACTCGGCAGTTGCCACGCCGATCACCGCCACGATCAAGAACCTTTCAATGGGGCTAAAGAGCTGCCAGGCCACAGCCTCTTCTCGACCGAAGCCGCCACCTATAGCACGAGCCGAGCTGGCTTCCTCGGCATCTACGAGGCGCCCCCGGAGGGAAACCCAAGCCAGCCGCCTAGCTGAAGAAACAACCGGCCGGCACGGCTCGGTAAAGTTGACGGAAAGGCGTCGAGGACAAGGATAGAAAGGAGAAAGAGAGACCAGAGATGGAGGTGCCAAGTCAGCTAAGTCGGCTTCTTCCATGGTTAGACGAAGAAGAAGAGGAGCGTTTTGATTATAAGGATTTGATTGATTTTGTTAATTACTGTGAAATTATAATTTGAAATTTGAAAAAAAATTTTGATTTTCGATCCATTTTTAGAAAGAATTTTGCCACCATGAAATGGGACTTCAAATGTTTTTGATATGCGAGGGAAAATAAAGAGACTTTGGGGAAGGTGATCGTTAGTAAATTGCCTTGTTGGCCTTTTAGGATCTTGACAAGTGTAAAAATACAATTTTGATATTTTTGCTCCCATTAAAAGTTTACAAATTTAAAGATTTCTTTTACCAAAAAAATCTAAGAATCAGAACTTTCTTTTTCTTTTCTTTTTTTTTTTTTTTGTGTAAGAAGAAAAATATATATAAAAAAGGGAACTTCAAGATTTTACCATTTTAATTCGATCAGTACTTGGTTTCTTTAATATATGCATCTCCCATAAAAATTTAAGCTCCAATTATCTTTATGCAAGTTTTTACCATTTTATTAAATGACTATAACTAATTGGGTCGTGTTCAGAAATTTCTTGTAAATCGATAAGTTGATTGCACATTGATGAATCTACTTAGATATGATATTTACCCAAAAATAAAAGTAGTATTTGAATTCAATAGCAATAAGCAAATACTAAGTAAATTACTCTACTATCAACTTAAAACTTTTTTCTTTAATTTTGAAAGTACATTAAACTTTGAATGAACAAATGAATAATAATGACTTGTATATGAAAAATATAATTGCTCAAATGGTTTCTCAGTTTGAGAGATTAATATGAATTTAACATGATTTTAGTTATAACTGTAATATTATAACCTTGTTACAAGTTTTAGTTTATCCATTGGAGTGATTTAGTAAAGTTCAAAATCGTTAAAAATGGTTTATTTTCTTTTTACCATGAATATATTGTAAGGCTTCAATCATGGTTCATCATTTAGGTTTTGTTAGGTAAAAAGAATGAAAAGAGATGATGACAGAAACTTGTTAATTTAATTGCTAAAATTCATAAAAAAAAATTTAGTTTGTAGCTTAAACATTAGATTAACAAATTTTTAATACTTATCTGTCCATCCTTCATATCAAGTAAAGCTTTAATGATATTAACAATCAAACTTTTGTTGAGAAATCTAATAATGGCATGGGAACAAGTGATGTGTTCAAGGTAATTAATTTATTTTTAACATGTAAAGTTTTATTTAATTTTATTTCTTATGTTATTTTGTTTTGATTATATCTTTTTATTTTAATATATTTGAACTTTTTTTTTCATTAGAATTTGACACTTATGACATTGAGTTTGTTCTTGCTATATGAAAATCTTAATTAGAGTTAAATTTGGATGAATAAAATGGTTTACAGAAAATAAGAATTAGATCCGAATATGCTTTTAGTATTGGTTGTAAGGTTCTTAAATCACAAGATAAAAAGCACGGTATGATCTTAGAAGGATTTGATTGCTTTGTTTTTTTATTGTTAATTCCACTTCAAATTCCTTTCAAGAAGGTTAGGGGTAGAAAGAAGGAAAGCTTGGAAGGCTTTCTTAGCGAGATTAGTGATGGAATGATAGCTAAAGCAGACAAATTGTTTTAAATCTTAGGTGTTTGGATTTTTGACTTAGAGGTTAGGAAAAGGTAACGAAGGAAGAAATGAGTAAAGGAAAACAAAATGGGGCATTTTTCAAAGGTGGCTTAACTGGGGATTGTGATTAGCTTGAGGCAAAAAAGTTAAAGTGATTATCAGTGATTGATCTAGAATTTTTTTTTTTTGGAATATCCACTTATAATATATATAAAATACTATTAATGAATTTACCGATTTTATCGACAAAAATGGTGTTTAGAGAAAATTTTTAGGAGTGTCCAAAGAAAATTTTTTTCTTTCAAATTTTTTTTTTCAATCTTTAGAGGTGTGCATAGACAACCTACTGCCTGATTTTATATCTGCCTTTAGCAATGGCTAGGGTTTTGTTTTAGAGAAAAGAGACTGGTGAATAGGGTTTATTTTGTAAAGAGAGAGTAGAAAAAGGATGGCCAAGGTTTTGGATATAAATAAGCTTTTAATGGGGGGAAATTCTATATGCAGCTATCTTTTTACTTTTTACAATAAAAAATTAATTTTTTATTACCAAATTATCCTAAAGTAAATGACCTAATTATTTTTGTTAAAATTACTTTTGAATTCTTTAGCCACACACTTTATTGTCTTTCTCTCAACCTAACCTCATAAACATCAAACTTTATTTTCTCCATTTATAAAACCTAAACTAGATATTAGTTCTCTTATGTTGGAGGATGCCGATAATGAAGGTGGAAAGTATAAACAAACCTTTTGCGACAAAGATTATAGATAAAATGATCAAGTAAGCATTTTGAGTCGTGATTTTAAATGGAACTTAAAAAAAAGGCACATTATGGAAACAAAATTCTAGATATGTAGATAATTTTTGAAAATGCACATCTATATATATTATTTATTTGGCATATGATATACATATCTGAAAAGCTTTAACCTTTTTCGAAAATGTATATTAGGAAAGTTTTTAATTTATCAAATTTGTATTTTTGAAAGTTTAGCCTTTTTACATGTTCATTTTTGAAAAAGGTTAAAAATGTTTCAAATATGCATATTCGAAAATGTTAAAAAAGTGAATACTGATATTATTCACTTAGCTGTGTTGAGTAATTTTCTTTAAATGGATTAATTTCATAATTTGACCAAATTTAAATAATACTAGTTTTAAAAGCAAACTTATTATATTTATGTTTGAATTTATTCATATTTCAAATATATATACATATACAAAGAAGAATCCACTTACACCAATGTAAGTATTACATCCTTTTTTAACCCTTGGATCAAAATGACTAAGTATAAGTGTTACGGATTTAATATTCATGCAAAAGTAAAAAAAGAGTAAAACACTTGCATTAGTTTAAATGGATACCTCATCGCATATATATATATATATATATATATGTACATATATATATATCCAATTGTTTAACTTGTTCCAAAACTTATAACTTCATCTTCAACTATTTAGTTAGAAATTCTTTTTGCTATTAAATAATAGTGACAATATTCACTATTTCATTTTAGGATATTTTATTTTAAGATGATTAATGTATATTGTGTTTATCTTTAACAATATGTTTGGTCAAATGGAATCATACTTCCATTCAATTTTTTTCAATTCCCTCTTATTTTATTTATTTGATTCAAAAAATGAGAAAGAATGGAAATTCTAAAACTCCAGTCAATTCCAAGTTTGATCGAAATTGCAAAGCTTCTTCTCCTCTATTATTTGCAATTCTATGGAACTAGGAAAACCCAAAATATATGTTATCTTCATTTAACCCTTAGTACAAAACTAAAAAAATTGATTAGTGACATTACTCTGACCATTATTGATGGCTAGAAAATCAACTCAAATAACAATAAACATCATCCTAAAAGAAAACCAACAAAAAAGCAAAAAAAACAAAAAAAAAAAAAAAACAAAAGAGAGTAAAAAGGGATGGAGATCAAAGGATGCCAGTGATGGTTTGAGGGTTATATCTAAAAGTTAAAAGAGTTAGGTGAGGGAAGAGAAATATCTCATTTTCAAATGGTTTGGAGCAATGAAGGATGGTGGTTTTTAAAGTGGAAACTATGAGCTTAGAGGCTAGATCTAGGCTTTGCTACGTTGTTTTTGAAAAAACCAAGTGGATATCGATGACAAGGAAGTCGAGATGAGCTTGTAGGTAAAATTTGGTAGAAATCAACGTTGGTTAGTGGTGGTCAATGATAGGCGGTAAGGGTGATGAGATTATAGATAGAGAGGTTTTGGTTTTTTGGTTTTTAGAAAGAGAAAGGGAAAAATGAAAGAAATGAGGAGGGAAAGAAAAAGAAGAAAAAAGAGAGAAAACAGAAAAAAAAGAAAAATCTAAAGCTTTTTATTAAATTTTATTAATTAGTTATGATTAATTTTATTTTTATTAAATTAATTCATATTATTAATTAAATATTACTTCTTTCGTCTCTAATGTTAGTCCTCCATTGACTTTCATAAAGTTTAAGGAAATTGTTTTGACTTTAGTCTTTACAATATTAAATTTAATTTTTCATAAATTTGAAATTCCATAATTTCTAATGACTAAACGCGAAAAAAAATTATGAATTAGAATACAAAAAATTAAGACATTTAAGTGTTGAAAAAGAAAAGATGACAAGTTTTAGGATATCCAAAAAAGAAAAAATGGACAAATAAAATAGAACGAAGGGAGTTGTAATCAATAATTAATAATTAATAATGAGAGAGAAATGAGTTAATTAATAATTATATTTTATTAATTAATTATGATTATATTAATTTATATTAAATTATGATTAATTTAATAAAAAAGTAAAATAGTCTTTAAACTTATTTCAACAATATTTTTTAAACTAATCAAACATATTAATATTAATTCCTACTATATTCCATTCCAATGAACCAAACATTATAATAATTATTCTATTCTATTCCTTTATTTATTTATTTTTTTGGAAATATTTATACCATTCTCCTCCATTCCATTATGCAAATCAAATGTGTCATAATTGAAATTTGAATAACTTTTAAAACGAATACGAAGGTAAATGAAGATTAATTAAAAAATAAAAGGATGTGAACAAATTTTGATAATAAATTTGTTTGAAAATAGATATGTCTATGATAAAATAGTGAACAATTTCTTTAGTTTTTTTGACCGTGAGGACTCTTTTCTATGATTTTTTAAAAAATATATGTTTTTTTTAAGTTACAGACATAGTTATTATTACATTCATAAATCAATTAAATAATTAATTTTTATATTATAATAAAATTACGGTCATTGAATACAACTAACATATTAAAACATAACCAAACATTAAACGTCTTTGGCATCTTGACCTAATGGCCAAAGAAATTTAAAGGGACATATAAGGTTCAATTTAGGGTTGGCATCTGGTCGGGTTCGGGGCAGGTTTTACTCGTCTCGAACCCGATCTGACTTGATGTTTTATTAAATTCGAGCTCGATCTTACTCGAATTTTTTTTTGTTTTTTCATATTCGAATCCGATCCGATCCCGATATTATGTAAACCGTATTCGATCCGATCCGAAATTAATAAAATATATTTTTTAAAAATATAAAATATATATTTTTTAAATATAAATATTTAAAAATATTATTATATAAATATATATAAATAAAAATTAAATAATTAATTAAAAAATAATTTTTATATAATATCAGGTCGGATTGGGTTTTAGGCAAATTCGAACCCGACCCGACCCCGATTGTTTTCTAATTTTATCTGATCCGATCTGACTTGAAACTCGAATTTCAAAAAAAAAAAAAATCTCATAAGATCGGATCGGACTAAAATCCGTTGGGGACAGGTTAGTTCGCCATCTCTAGTTCAATTTCGGGCCAACCGATCCCCCACTCTTGTACTTAAGGCTAAACTTGGGCCCTTCACATTAACTCACAAAGAAATTAAGGAAGTTTCCGAGGACCATTAGTTAGGCCAAATCTTTTCATTTATTGTTTCTATATACTATATATTATTAAAGAAAACTATATTTTTCATAAGTCAGCGAAGTTTTAGGTTGTTCTTCTTTTATAGTATAATTTTTCTTATTAAGTAGGAGTTGTTTATATTATTTCTACAAAGTGAACTAAAGACCAAAATTGATAACGTTTTATATTGAGTAGCGCAAGATGATAGGTTTAAATATACTAAAATAAATAAATAAATAAAAGAAAATTCGCAGCTAAAAATAAAAAATATATATATTGTTAAATATTTTTTGCCCTCTAATATTTGGTATTTTATGAAATTATATATGCAAGTTGAAGTTACAATTAAAATCAGTATTATATATCGTATGAGAAGTCAAAAGAAACTAATTGGTTATATAATTAGATAAATATGACATAACTGAACAATTCACACATGATGAGAACTTATGTACATAAATGTAAGAAGACAAAAAATTATATCTCCAAAAAACGAAATCTTTTTTGCCACGGCATGGAGGTTATAATCTAAGAAAGGAGAATAAAAAAAAAAAAAAAAGAGATTAACTCACTAGTTATCATTATTTGTTTATTTATTTATTTATTTTTTTATAGCTTCAACACACAAACACGATACACTTTCTCCGACAGACACTTGAACATGGTGGGGAAAGGAAAACTGGAAAGGGCCAGAAGAGAGAACAAAAACCCCAAAAAAAGAAAAAAGACAAACAGAGATGCACGGCATTTTATGACATTAATGTGAGAAAGAAAAATCATTACAACATAAAATCATTTGTTACTGTACAGCTGGATGCGTTTCTATTATAGCATATCAATAGGTCTGGGTTTTTCCTTTAGCTTTTAGAAGCCCTTTTTTTTTTTTTTTCTCTTTAAAGTTCAAACCCAGATAATAATAAATGCCTAACATTTTTCTTGTTTTTGTGTGCAAAAGTAGCTTTCTTATCTGCTTGTTGCGTATTCTAACGGTTCTTCTACTCAAAAGAATCAAGTCACAACAACCAGACCTATTTTTGTCAGCTCTTATTGCTGCTGCCTGTTAGCACACGAACACTTTGCACGATTATCCGAGAGTGACTGAACACATTGAAACATGGAAACCGAAACAAGATGAATGAATAAAAAAAAAAAAAAAAGGTATTGATTTTTGGGTTGGTGTATTTTCATTCAAGAGGTCCCCGCAACATACCTTGACCTGTTTTTGGAGGTCTTTGATATAATCAACAGCCAAATCTAGCATGTCGGCAGTGTTTGTTTGCTGCAAACAGGGGAAGAAAACATGGGTTTTCCAGAAATTTCATATACCAGGAATCAATCCCAAGTCAAGACTTTTTACCTTATCCATGTTTGGAACAAGGTCTTGTAGTTTCCTCATGCGTTCACTTATTTTGGTTCTTCTCACCTGAATAGAAACAAACTTAAAGAGGGGGGGTTTAAAGATCATAGCTCTTCTGTTTTCAGCAAACAAAGTCATTAATTTGCATGTAATGACACAAACAAAAGAAAAGATGACGGTCAAAGATAAACATTACCCTCTCAGCAATGCTTCTAGGGTGAGTGGCACAGCCTCTCTTGGCCCGAATCTTACGAGGTACAGAATCCTGAAACTTGAAGAACTTCTCAATGGCAGACATATCTGGTGAGCTCTTTGGTAAACTAAGGTGATGAGCCAAAAGCGGCGGTGGATGGTTTCCGGTGTCTGTGTTCTGTCAGAGTTTGACAACAAAAAATGACCATCAGATCAGAATATTATCAGATATAAGAAAATGTCACATTGTATTAAATGTGTATAACCAGAGTTTCTGCTCCGTCAAAGTCCAAGCCAGAAAGTGATCTATCATCTTCTCCGAGTCTTTTTACGCCTGACATGTTATCAGAAATCATCACGGGATCGTCCCAAGAAGTAACTGGAAACCCTGAGGAATAATTGTTTCGACGGTTGTCACCAAATCCAGTATTTTCTGAGCTATTTGGACTCATGCTTTTGTTCCCCATCTCGGCAATTGGACTCATCAGCCCAGGTGGAGGCCTGCTTGCAGGAGGAAATGCTGTTTCCCTGTTACTGCTATTAGCACTTCCGTAATCTCCCATTCCTCTCATCACCCCATAGCCTGCAACTTTATAAGACTTCAGTGTCATTCTCAGCCTTTTATGTAAGAAATATCTCTCTAAATTCTGAAGGCTGTTGGCAAAAAATACCACTGACAACAAGATTATGGTACAAGATCAGAAGGTAATCAACCTAATCCATGGTGTCAACTCAGAATAGTTGAACTTGATAATCATATTTATCAAATCCTTTAAAAAAAAAAAAAGCAAAGAAAATGATGATTGAATATCGTTCTTTTTTAGTATTGCTCGACTCTTAGCTGTTTCATTTGATTGTTCTCGTACAAACTGAGTATATTTGATTAAAATTTCCATCCTTGTAATCACAAAAGCGACAATTATGAGCTTTTTTCATTAAAAGAAACTTTTTCACTGATTCTTTCTTATTTTCCAATGAAATTTCAGTGGTCGCTGGAACGCAACAGACAACCAAAATATTCTAAAAACAACCCTGTATTTCCTACCGTGAAACAGATATCTTTTCTGTTTTGTCTCCACCACGCCTGAAGTTGAAAAGTTAAAAAGAGAAAAGTATTACTTTGACAAAGAAAAGGAAACACTTGATCAAGAATGTATATATAGGAAAAAATCACTTACTATTTTCAATGTCTATATTGGCGAATAACCCTGCAGGTGAGCTGCTGTGTCGAATAAGATTGGAATTATTGCAGCCGCCCATCTTCACTCGTGTTGGTCGCGCCATCCCCGTTGAATTTGGAATTCTGTAATCCATAGTTGAACCTGATTGCTGATTGGGCAAATGCTGTTGAGGTTGCATTTGGTAAAAATTCTGTGAAGCAGAGGAATAGTTCCCTTGCTGCTGTTGTTGCTGCTGCATAACCCCTGTTTGATTATTTATTGGAGTCATAATCTGCGTTTGCTGCTCAATTTTTACAGCCGTTTCTCTAACGGGTGAATTCTGCATTATTGCGCAAGGATTCTGGTCTGAAATGTTCACCGTATTACCACCAACAACACCACCAGCATCCCCACTACTCGATAAAAATCGAACAATAATTCGTTCTGTTTCTGGACTTGGTGGCCGATTTAGAAACTCTTGGCAGAAATCTTTGTCCAAGATGTTTGAAAAATACGAACTAGGTGCAGATTGGAACCTCATCAAGCCAGAGTTCATCTGTCTTTGATGGTGTTGAGGTTGATTATAATCCAGAAGATGGTGATGCTGCTGTTGAAGATCTGACTCCATTTCCCTTTCAATTCTCCTTCAAAAAGTACTTGAGACACAAAGGATTCAAAAACCCCAATTCAGTAATAAGTACTTTTGTCGGGTTTTCAATCAGATCAAGATTGAATATCAAAATCCTAAAAAGACCCACTAAGAAAAACAGAATCAAAGAATCTGTTTGTTTCCCAAGAAATTAGCTCTGGAAAAATTTTTCATGGAAAGCTTCATGTGATCTAACAAAGTGTTTACCCAGAAATATCAGCTACTTTTTTGCGGATCTATCTTGAGTACCTCAAAGTTGAATCCCAAGACTTTGGTAGGCTTGAAACTCAAGTACTATCACTGCTCTGCTATCAAAGTAGCTCCAAAAGCAGAGGAAAACAGAGTGCCAAAAAAAAAAAAAGAGATGCCACCACAGTTATTCACCACAAACAACCCTTACAATCAAATCTGAAAGAAACCCAATTTTCTATCACTGAAACCAGAGCACTTAGCAGAAAAAGATAACATTAATAAGAGAAAAAAGTGAGCCACTCGATGAAAGGAATACCTTGGACCATAACAGCAAAAAAACAGAATAATAGCAAATATATATCACCAGGCTCACCAGCCAATCTCTCTGTCTCTCCATTTTCTATTTACTTTTGTTTTTTTTTTTTCTCTCTTCAGCTCTTCCTCGATTTGTGTTTCATGGCTGATGGTAGTGTTTTAATGCAAATGAGTGAAAAAAGAAAAAAGAAAGTGAATAAAAATTTTAGAAAAAAAAAAAAGAAAAAGGTTAATTAAAAAGAGAAAGGCATTTTGTAGGCTCAGCCAATGGGGATGTAACACAGGCCAGACATGTAGACCCTCACATTTAGTATGTTGTAATTATAATCTAATGATTTGACGCTTGACAGTACTGCTGTACTGGCCATTGTTTTTTGTTTATTGTTACAAAAAAAGACTTAATTTAAAGACGGTTGAAGTAGAATCTTTTGGCATTGGGAGGTAACCTCAGCGGAGTCCAACATTGATTTGTCCAATTATTAGAAGAAAGCAAGGACTTTTATAAATATGAATATCTCGCAAATAAAATGACCTTATTATCCTTGTTGCACCACACTTGAAAATTTTTTTTCATTGAAAAAATGGAAGGTGAAAGCATGAGAAATGTTAAACTTGCACTTCATTTCATTAGCGAAGGGAGAAAAATCACAAATGTTGTTGTCATGGCAAGAGAATTGTTAATATAGGAAAAACATAAAATTAATTTCTTGGGTCTTGATCAAATAATTAAAGAATAAATTGATTGATGCCTCCATCTTAAGTTCAACATCATTTTGTTGAAATTATATCATGTACGGTCATTATATTACAATCAATTATAATTTAAAATTGAATGAAGTTTATTAAAATTTTATATAAAATTCAAATTTATAAGTAATGCATTTTTACATATATTTTTATAATTAAATAATTATAAAAATTGTAAATATATATAGGTGAAATGCACCTACAACTCATATATGAGTATATAAAGTTACATATATATATAAAAAAAAAAACTATACCTAAGCATTGCTTCCTTTGAATTAAACATCTTTTTATCTATGTCTCTTGTTTTTCATAATGGTTGAAGCATTAAAACGACCTTTTCTATATACATATTTATGTGTGTGTGTGTGATTGGAAACCTATTCCAATGTTAAGACCACTTAAGTAATTGAATTCAACATATAAAAGTTTACATCTAATCTCAAGTCCACTCTTTTACTTTTCTATCTATTATGGAAAATGCTTCTTAATGGGCATTTTTGTTTTTACTATTTGTCATTATGATATGATAAAAATTTATTGGATAAATTACTTTTACAGTCTTTAAAGTTTGAGATAAGTATCATTTTAATATTTGAACTTTAAAAAGTAATATGTTGATCATTATACCTTAATGGTCGTAATAATATGATCTTTTCATTAGTCAAATTGATGGTTGAATCATTAAATGTTAAAATTACAAAAAAAAGTATGATAAAATTTTTTACTTAATACTAATAATTTTGATGATTATATAAAAATAAAATTTCTTTTTTACCTTTAATTTTGTTAGTAAATATTTTTTTGAGATTCAATTTTAAGATAGAAAAAAAAGTTTGTATCTTAAAAATAAAAAATACTTTTTTTTTCAAATTTATTTATTATTTGTTTAAAATACTCAATTAGACTATACATCATCATAAAATATATGATTGTGTAGTTGTCATTTATTTTACAATATTTCATTATCATAAAATATTTCTTCAAAAATCAAAATTTTTTTAGTTATAAAAATATTAGTATACAACTTTTAATAAAATATTATAAATTTCACACTTTTTATTAATAGAAAATAACAGATTTAATTATTTGGATCATGACTAGATATTTTTATGAACTGAGCCAAATCTGAATTACACTTTTAAAATCTTGTTCAAGGCTCGGTTGACTCATTCATTAAAAACCCAAATAGGCCCATTTTACTATTAGAAATTAAAATATTAAAAAAAATTATACTAATATTTTAATAGTTTTTAAATATATTTAAAAATAAAAATAAAAAAAATATTTTATTAATAAAATAATAATTTGATCTGTTCAAGTTTAGGCTTTAAAAATCATATTAAATACTTGATTCGAATCGAGTTTAATTTATGAATCTTGTTAACAGCTCAATTTATAAGTAAGTCTAATTACAACTTAGCATTTTTATTGAAAAAGTAAAAATATTAATTAATTTAAAAATTAGTATCACAAAAATAACAATAAAATACATAAGAATTAATATCCATAAAATAAATTAAAAAAATAAATTTTATCAAACTTTTAATTTTTATAATTATTTTATCTCTTAACATCAAACTTATAATATTAGCAATATATTACCTTATTTTGTAATTTTTCTTTTTATCTTTTCATTTAACGGTTTGACTAGCAATTTTACTGACAGAAGAATTGTTTCATTCCAACTATCAAAGTAGAGGGACTAATACTCTATTTTTTAAAATTTAGAAACTAAAACGATACTCATCACAAATTTTAGGAGCCTAAGTTTCCCAAATTAACTGGTTTAATTTTAAGCATTGCATTTATGAAGAAGTTTATCTAACCTAATTTGATAGGTTTCACCCTTAGACTATCCAACAAAATTTTGTCGCATAAGAAGGAATAAATTATAAGAAAAAAGGTATCAGATCAAACGACATTGCTCTTTATTAATTATTAATATTTGTAAGTTGAAAATTTTACACCCTAATAGTATAGGTTTCAAAAGGTTAGATTATGGACACTTAAAATTATTTTTGGTTTTTGAAAATTTTTGGGCAAATCAAAGTTAAACTTTCATTTCAATTTTTGACATTGTTTGATTTTGAGTCTCATAATTTTTGAAAGACTCGAAATTATTGGACAAACTTTATATTTTTGAAACGAGCATTTCATTCCATATCTTTTGATATATTATAAGTTCAAATATAATTAGTATTCAATAACATATGATTGGATTTCGTAGTCTTGAAATTTGACAGATCTTTAGTGATTTTATTATATGTTATAAAATATTATGAATATTTGAGTGAAATTAGCTTCATTAGAATCTAGAATTTTAATGCTTTCAAACAAAATAAAGATCACTAAATTTTGACATTGAACGAAACTTATAGCCATTTTAAGTTAGGCGCTAGATGCTAGAATTGAAGTGATGATTGGCCCACCCCATTTTTGGTTGAATTTTATGATTAATTTGTAATTTTGGGATTTATCATCCCAAAATGATATTATCAACTGATAATTGACTTTCTAGGGGATAAATATCCGAAACAAATCCCACGTAGAGATATTTTGAATGATAAATGTGATTTTTTTTCACTTGATAATTAATCCTTAAAATTATCTCTCTCATATGATAAAGTCCAACCCTCATCTCCAACACTCAATCCTTGAATATAAATAGTAGCTTCTAGTTATTTGTTTAACACACCTTAACGATTATTCTTTTCTTTCTAAGTAATTTAAGCTCTAAGTTAGAATTCAAGCCAAATGCGGAGATTTGTAGAGTATTATTTTGTCTAGAATTCAAGATCTTACTACTTGTAATCCTATTCAAGAATTCTAATTTGACTTCATAGCTACCATCTTTTGTGTATTGCTCCTATTCTTTCGAGGCCTCACCTTCTACAGGATACAAACCATTATGCAAATTTTCTCTCATTAGGACCATGTACCTTTGGTGAATTTTACCATTCCCACCATTGGTAGAATATTCATACCCCTACGAGTCTAACAAGCTCAACGTTTTTAAAATCCTACACATATTTGCGACATAAATCACACCACCCAAGAAATGCAAAACGCCATTATACATCTTGATTTTCACAACTACACGACCTATGACCTACATGATTGACTTGTCACCTGAAGTCAAAATCCAAACAACCCTTTCTTGAAGCAAATCAAATTAATCGTTTCAGGAGCATATGTGAGTAACACGACAGAATCTAGATACTAACCATTACTATAATTTGAATCAACACATTCAGAAATCATGATAACAGTCTCATTATGATATCATCATCAAAGACGAAAACATTTTCGCCTTTATTTTTGTCCCATTCATTCTTCTTTTTATATGACAATCCCGCTGAATATGCTCATACCCTTTACATCGAAGATACTGAACATCATCGGGTCTAGACTTGTCACCCTTAGATCTTATACTGATTGACTTGGTCTTCTGAACCTTAGCCTCGAATGATGAATCAAGTGAATACCTACCCCTTTCTTATTTTGCTTTTAGGCTTCACAGAACATTAACGTTTGTTTATGCTTGCTCTAACGTTATTGTATCATTCCCACAAATCAAATATTCCATAAATATATCATATAAGTTCGAAAGTGATACAAGGAACAACAATGTCTTATCCTTTTCCTCCATCTTTATCTCGATCTTCTTCAAGTAATCAATGATCTCGTCAAATTTGTTAATGTGCTTTATAAGGTCTCCACTCTCCTCCATCATTGACCTATTCAATTTTCAGTTAAGTTACAACTTGTTGGAAAGACTTTTGATTAAATAAATCTTTTTCAATTTTGCCCATAACTCTAGAGTGGATTCTTCATTAATAACGTGATTAAACGTATTATCCTTGATACAAAATTGAATAAGACACATTGCCTCGAACTTTATCCATTCACTATCTTTCATGTCATTTGGTTGCCTTTTCTTTTTGTTAGTAAAGGATTCATTAAGCTCTATTGCACAAGGAGAACTCTTATCCTTTTTATCATTGTGTGAAACTAGTCTTCCAATCAAATTTCTTAATTGAGAAATTTGTAAAACAAGTAACTTTCGACATCTTATGTTGAATTTCGATCTAATGAACCCGAAACTCTTACACCACTTACTGAAAATTGGCCAAAAATATTAAAAGAAAAATCATAGAAAAATTAAGCAAACAGAAATGCATAGCAATTTACGTGGTTCGATCATTTGTCTTAAGTCCATGGAATAAATAGTTTTTCTACTATTAAGAAATTAAAGTACAATAAGATCTCTTAATGATTACCCAAACCAACTAAAAAAACCATTCTCTCAATAGGCTAACAAGAACAATTATTCAAACCCACTATAAAGAAATTAAAGTACAATAAGATTTTCTGATTCTTACCAAAACTAACCCAAAACTAACCCGAAGACCTTTTGTACATCTACTCTCAATAAACTAACAAGAACAATCATTCAAACCCACTCTAGCTCCCACCTATAATAAAAAACAGACTTACAAGATGTTTCTCTCTAAAACTCTCAAAATTACTATACAATTTCTAAAATCTAGAACATCACTTTTATAATATAAAAATTGAAAGTAAAATATAATTAAAAGTCGATATAA